TGAAATTTAAAGTTGTTTTATCAGCCAAAAAAAAGGGGGGGGGGTGCTGATTTAGGAATATCAGAGAAATGCAAGCTATAGGCAAAACCAGAGGTGAATGCAACAGAGAACTTATTAGGAGACAGTTGGGAGGGGTTATTTTGAACGTTAAGAGTGCATGAGGATTTCTCATTAGCGGACTTGCTGTTTACCGATGTTTTTGTGGGAGATACAATGTACCTCTTTCTCTGTTAGGACTTGGAATTGATGATTCTTTCTTATTGATGCGTCTTTTGTTGCGGTCTGTAATTGACCTCCAGTGGTACAGTGTGGTAGCTCCCCCTTCTGGCCTTTAGACTCCGTTTGAAATGAGATTTCCTTCTATTAATTTTCACAAGTGGAAGTGTGTGTCCCAACTAATAATTGTTGATAAGACAGAATTCCTTGGGCATAGAATCATTGTCCTCAGCGCTCTCACCTTGCTAAACCAGACCCTACCCAGCCCTACAGTCACCACATAGCCAAACACGATGCCACAGCGTCTGGCAAAGATGGACATGATTCATTGTCATTTTCCATGTCCTTTGGCATCTTTGGAGTCCACACATTCTTCACTTCCCATCTGTTTTATGATGGATCAGATTGAACTCCCTAATCCCCACCTCCCCCATCAAATCTATGGCTCATTTTGGCCAGATTAATTTTCCTGATGCAACATCTCTCAAAAATGTTCATGGTAGGGGCGCCTAGGTGGCTCAGTTCGTTAAGCGTCTGACTCTTGATTTCTGCTCAGGTCATGATCCCAGGATCATGGGATAGAGCCCAGCGTGGGCCTCAGCGCTGAATATGAAGCCTGTTTAAGATTCTCTCTCCCCACCCCCCACCCCTCTCCTCTGCTTACATGAGTGCAGTCTCTCTCTCTCTCTTTCTCTCTCTCTCTCTCTCTAAAAAAAAAAAAAAAAAAAAAAGTTCATGGTTCCCATAGCCCACAAATGAAATGTAAACTTCTTGGCTTACTCATCAGTGCCTTCAATAATCGGCCCCCATCTGCCTTTTCAACTTTAATTTCCCACTTTCCTGGACACAAACTTTCCAGTAATTTTGAGTTAGGTCCGGAGCATGAGACTCTATATATATCTATCCCTTTGCTCATACCAGAAAGTATCCCCTAGCTTTTTCATCCATTTCTCCCTGCAAATCTGAATTCTGTCACCTTCCAAGCCCCAGCCCACATGAATTCCCCCTTCTCTGAAGGTCTAAAGCAACTACTGACCATAGTATTCCTCTTGTCACTTATTTAAATTCAGTAAGTACTGTTATTAACTTGTTGTCTTGTAAGTTTTTTTCAAAGAGCATTTCTACATTCCTGGCACTGTGTTTGGTGCTTAAAATATTTCCTCATTTAATTCATACAATAACTTTGTACAATTTAGAAAACTGAGGATCAAGGATATAGTAATTTGCCCAAGTTGTAATACCTAGTAAATTGTCCAATATTGAGTTTAAAATGAAAAGTATTTATAGGTGGTTGATAAAAATATGTTATTGAATAAATATGCAAACTCAAAATACCTTATTTTTATGTATTTTAATATTTTTTGAGAATAGTAAGTGAAATTCTATGATTATTTTTTAGTAGAGTTATATTAGATTTATAAAATGAACTGGGTGGATTCGTACCTTTTTGTCTATATTACAACATCTGGTTGGAAGCCTTTTTTCTTCCTTTAATCTTTCAGTCTCCTTCATGATTATTGGTCTATTTACATTGTCTACTTCTTCTGTAGTCAATTTGGGAAATTTATTTTTTCCCACAGACATTTCAAGTTGGATGAACTTTATACCTACTTTACCTGAAATTAATATGACTATGTGTGCTTTTAAAAAAAAATCGTGATTGCTCAATGGATCTATCTATCCTTCAACTGTCTGTTATTTTAATAGATGTATTGCTGTTGAGCTATATGTAGTTGAATATTTTTAAGATAATTTGAGGGTCCTTGTTAATAGATTATTCATTTAAGTGACTTTATATGATTTATGTTTCTGTTTTTCATGAGGGTGGGCATTTTTGTAGGAAGGAAGGAGTGGATGCTACTGGAATGTTGACCAGATGTCATTTTCAGTGTCATTCTCTTGTATGATTCTGAACTTTCTGATTTTTGTTTCCTACCCTTCAGTTTCTTTCGCCTATTTCCTATTTCCTATGTGACACTTTTTGGCCAATTTGTTAATTTGTTTCCTGGAGTTTCCAGTTGCCTTTTGGATCACTCAGTGTACTAACAGAATAAAGCATATTCTTACCCTTGGTTTAGCTCTTGGAAGTGTAAATCTGGTCACTTTTACCATTTAAAACATAATTTTTATAAGAATGATCATTGTATTATTTCTTCTATCAGTGAAAATTAGAAATAACCTAAACATCAAATAGCAAATGATAGAATACTCATGCAGTGAAACATTCCTAAATTGACTAAAGTCATTGGAATGAATATTTAACAATATAGAAAAATACTCAAGATATATAGTGTTTAAGGTATAAGAAGCAGGGGCGCCTGGGTGGCTCAGCCAGTTAAGTGTCTGACTTCAGCTCAGGTCATGATCTCCTGGCTTGTGAGTTAGAGGGCTGTGGCTGACAGCTCAGAGCCTGGATCCTGCTTTGGATTCTGTGTGTCGCTCTCTCTCTTCCCCTCCCCTGCTCACACTCTGTCTCTCTCTGTCTCAAAAATAAATAAAACATTTTTAAAAATTTATAAAAAAAGGTATAAGAAGCAGGATATATATGATTTAGGCATACAGTAAATGCATACAATTAACTTTATGCCAGGCTCCATTTTAAATCTTTTACATAGTGGGCTCATATATGGAAGATTACTGTGGTATGACCTTAAGCTAGAAGCTTAGCCACTCTAATATTTGTGTTCTCATCTGACAAATGTTAAAGCATGTAAACCATAGTACATTCTTAATTTAAAAAAATATTCCTGGGGGCTCCTGGGTGGCTCAGTCAGTCAAGTGTCCGACTTCAGCTCAGCTCATGATCTTGCAGTTTGTGAGTTTGAGCCCCGCGTGGGGGCTCTGTGCTGACAGCTCAAGCCTGGAGCCTGCTTCAGATTCTGTGTCTCCCTCTCTCTCTGCCCCTCCCCCACTCAGGCTGTCTCTTTCTCTCTCTCAAAAATAAATAAACATTAAAAATAAATAAATAAATGTTCCTAGATCTTGCTCTAGATTGATCATATTAAAAGTATACTGTTGGGGCGCCTGGGTGGCGCAGTCGGTTAAGCGTCCGACTTCAGCCAGGTCACGATCTCGCGGTCCGTGAGTTCGAGCCCCGCGTCAGGCTCTGGGCTGATGGCTCAAAGCCTGGAGCCTGTTTCCGATTCTGTGTCTCCCTCTCTCTCTGCCCCTCCCCCGTTCATGCTCTGTCTCTCTCTGTCCCAAAAATAAATAAAAAACGTTGGAAAAAAAAAAAAAAGTATACTGGTAAGTGTTACTTACCATTAATATTTGCTAACCTGGATTCTTTTTCATTAAATTATATTTCTGT